ACCCACTTTGCCTTCCACTTTGATGAGCTCAAAGTCGATGTCTCTTCGCTCCATGTCTGCCACAGTGAGGACGGCATTCACAGCGATTTCAGCCATTTGTCGATGGCAGCTGTTGACCACTTTGGAGCCCAGCGTGGTTTTTGCAGTCTGAATTAGGGGTTCAGGGTCGTTTATGTCAACAAGCACATGATCACTGATCTTGTCCAGGTGATCTATAGCAATTCGGGCAGCCTGTTCATAGCCGTCGGCAATTCTGATCGGGTGAATGCCTCGGTCCAGCAGCTGCTCAGCTTCTTCCAACAAGGCACCAGCCAGGACAACCCTTCTTGTGGTTCCATCTCCAATTTCATCATCCTGGGATTTGGAAAGTTCGACCATTAGCTTGGCAATCTGATGATCAACATCCATCATGCTTAAAATGGTGGCACCATCATTTGTTACAGTTACATCGCCATCTTTATCTACCATCATCTTATCCAGCCCATTGGGTCCCAGTGACGTCCTCATTGTGTTTGCTACAGCTTTTGCAGCCATGATGTGAGACTTGAGGGCCTCAAGCCCCATGATACGGGACTTGCGGTCCTGATCCTTGATGATGAAGAAGGGGCGCCCATACTCATCGAAGGCGAGGGTAGGTTGTGTTTTCATTTTCTTTTGGTTTCATGGCTTTAAAAAAATTCTTGATTTTAATCACTTATTCCTCATTCAAATAAGGTGACATCCGTGAGTTTTTCTGTGGTTTGTCTTGCTGTTGAATTTTAGCTTTTCTCCGTTGTCATCAGATACAAAACAAGCAGCTACTTCAGTTTTCTTTGTTGACACCTGTTTAGTGTAGGGTCATGTGGTATACTTTCAGAGAAAATTCCGTGGGCTGCTAAGAAGAATGTGCATTCTTTGTGTTTGGATGAAATGCTCTGGATATGTATGTTAGTTCCATTTGGTCTATGATGCTATTTAATAGATGTTTTTTTTATTGCTTTTTTGTGACATTTGTATTGATGAAAGCAGAGTATTGAAATCCCCCATTATTGTTGTGTTGGAGTGATTCTGTGGCTTTATATCTATCATTCAGTATTTGTTTTATGAAATTCGACCAATCTATGGTAGCTGTGTAAATATTTAGTTTTAATGTCCTCTCCAGGGATCCATTGCCTTAACAGATATAAAATGATCTTTATAGCTTCTGACTGGTTTTGGTTGGGAGTCTATTTCCTCAGTTATTAGGCAAACAGCAGTAATTCTTCTTCCACTGGATGAGAGTTCTATCATGACAGCCAGGGTGTTCGGCCATCCGATCACCAGAGCAGGTCAGCTCAGGCACCCTCTCGACCATTGCCAGTAGTCTATTATGGAGGTATCTTTGTGGATTTCTGGGAACCTCTCTAGCACTTTGCTTCTTCCTATTCCCATGGTGTCTTCATTTATCATGGTATCTTTTTCCTTGTTCTCCCACTCTTGTTCCTGACCCAGCTGGGACCTCCTGCTCCTCTAAGCTCTCTTTCCCCTGACCCTTGCCCTCCATTCTCCCCCCCCCCCATCCAGTCTGCTCATGTATATCTCGTCCATTTCTCTGTCGTTGGGCGATCCTTGTGTCTTTCTTAGGGTTCTCTTTACTAGGTGGGATTATCTGAGCAAAAATATTGAGACCATAATTGGAAAAAGCACAGGAACAAATAGCCAAACTAGTGGAAACACATGAACTATGAACCAATAGCTGAGGAGCCCCCATGGAAATGGATCAGGCCTCACTCTAAGTGAGACAGTTGATTAGCTTGAAATATTTAGGAGGCCCCCAGGCAGTGGTACCAGGACCTGTCCTTAGTGCATGAGCTGGCTTTTTGGAACCTAGGGCCTATGCTGAGACATTTTACTCAGCCTTGGTGTAGGGAGGAGGGGACTGGACCTGCCTCAACTGAATCTACCAGGCTGAGCTCAATTCCCAGGGGAGACCTTGCCTTGGAAGAGGTAGGAATGGGGGGTGAATTGGGGGAGAAGGCTGGAGGGTGGGAGGAGGGAGGACAGGGGAATCCGTGGCTGGTATGTAAAATTAAATTAATTATATATATAAAAAAGAATTCCTTCCAGTTCCCTCTGCTGGCTTTTGGTTCTAAATTTCTTTAACTTTTTTTTTTTTAAAATCATGTGTTCTAATTTGCTCTCTGTTGCTAGGATTTGAACTGAGATCTTATTTTAGCTTAGGTCTTAATCAGCAGGGTGTACAGCTGAATTGTAAAAATCAACAGAAAGACAAACCAAAGAAAAGCTCATGGATATCAACATCTTTATTTGAATGAGGAATAAGTTAGTAATTAAATAAAGAAAGCATTTTTTAAAGCCACAAAACCAGTAGAAGAAGAAAGTACAGTATTTATTGTATTGGTTTTATGCAGAAATGTCTGTAAAGAATTTGGAATTCCAGCTCAATTAAGGTAGGCAGTCTGACTCGACCATGCCCTTGATGATACTGGTTTTCTAAAGCCTCTTAGACTCTCTAAACATTATTTGTAAAGTGAAGAAAATAAGACTTGCAGCACTTACCACTTAGAATTCTTCTAAATACGAAACTGACATAAGACATGAATGCTATTTCAATCTAAGTTATTTGGTGGGATTACACTGTAACAGTATTGATAAGCTCATCTCTCTCTCCCTCTCCCTCCCCTCTCTCTCTCTCCTCCCTCCCTCTCCCTCTCTCTCCTCTTTCTCTCCTCTCTCTCTCTCTCTCTCTCTCTCTCTCTCTCTCTCTCTCTCTCTCTCTCTGTACAGGCACATAATCTTCATTCACCCTGGATGTCACAATTGCTCTTAAATACTAACCTTTGTCAGAGTTGCTGCTATTTATTTGCCCAGTCAGCTTTCTTCTAAACAGTGAGACCCCACATTACTATTTATTTAAAAAAATCTCTACTTTTAACTACTCTTATCATTGACAAATTTTTATATAACAAGTTGTACCCAAAGCATTAGAGAATAGGTAATATAACATGGGTTATATGCTGTAAAGTGATTTTTATCCCACCTGAAGGGATAATAAGAAACTTTTTTAAACATTGGGCCCATTTATGCTATACTGAGATATTAACACATAATAGTTGTATTTGAGATGAAATTCCAGCTAGAGCTTCTGCACAGGGGAGTAAGAAAACACATCCCACTTTTCTACAAGCTGGGAGGTTATGCTGATATTTAATAATATTTTGAGATCAGTTTTTTAAAAAGTGTTACTACATTTTATTATTTAAAAAATTTTCATATAGTGTATTTTGATCATAGTATTTCCCTCCCCCATCTCCTCCCAGATTCTCTCCACCCTGCTATCCACCTAACTTCGTGTTTCATTTCTCTCTCAAAATACAATAAAACAAATACCCAACGAAACAAAAGAACACCAAACTATAACAACAACCAAAGCACATCCCAAAAACATGGAGTCTGTTTTGTGTTAGCCAATTCCTCCTGAGCACAGGGCCTGTCTTGGAGTATGGTCGATTAGACCCAGTGTCGCTCCATTAGAGAAAAATGATTTTCTTTTTCCCAGAAACTATCAACTACAGGTGGTTTTTTGGTTAGGGTTGGGATTCTGTGTTCACTCCCCCTTCTCTGTTCTTGGATTTATCTGGGTTGAAATTGTGCAGGTCTTGTGGAAGCTGCCACAGACTCCTTAAGTTTATATTACATCAGCCTTGCTGTGTCTGGATGGTGTTTTCTTGGAGTGATTCACTACCTCTAGCTCTTACAATCTTTCTGCCTCTGCTTCCAAATTGATTCCTGAGTCTTGAGGAATGTTCGATACAGACATCACATTTAGTGCTGGGTGCTCCAAAATCTGTTAGTGTTTCCATGTTGTCCAACTATGGGTCTCTGTGTTAGTTACCATCCACTGCAAGAAGAAGATTCTCTGACGATGGGTGAGTGATGCAGTGATCTATGGATATAGCAACATGTCATCAGGAGGTGTTTTATTGCTATGTGCATTTAGCAGAACAATAGTAGGTTTCCCCTAGGACCCATGAACTATCTAGTCCAGGTCTCTGACATCTTTAACAGTGTTTAGGTGTAGGGCACACCTCACAGAATGGGACTTAAATCCAATCAAAGTGTGGTTCGTTACTCTAACAATATTTGTGCCACAATTGCACCATTGTATTTTACAGACAGACCCCACGTGAACAATGTAGGGAAAGGGGGCTGACTAAAGAAACCCACCCTGACCCTGGAGCCCAGAATTAGGGAAGGATGCTTCAGATAAAGCCAGTGAGAGAAACACAGTTTAGCTCAGATCAGAGCCATCTCT